CAACACATACGGAAATTGTTTGCTTTAGGGCGTCAGTAGATCCGTGTGTGTCCGTTCCTGCTTGAAAAAATACCCGAGCTGCAGCGACAGGTGACGAAGCACAGATGAACTTCGGTTTACTAATTATTTATAACCCATCTGTTAGACCCTGTCTGTAAACCATCTGTGCCGAGTGTGAACGTACTTTTGTGTTCCTAATATCGGATGGTAGTGAGGGCTGTGACTGTCTGAGTGAAGGTGCAATAAGGCCCAAACTGTACGGTATCAATCAGGCCGCATTCTCTTCCCCACGAACATTCGTGTCTGTCAGAAAAAGTCCGCTTCTGATCTTTACTGTACAAAAAAATCTGTTCCACAGAACTGCGACATGAACTCTGTTTGCTTAAAAATGCTTAGGAGGAAGAGAGCCTTTACGTAGACGAACATCGTAAGAATGAATTCTCTATTCGTCAGACCAAGTTGTTTTATCCTAGTCTCGATAGGAGAACAGCCTTCAAGATCACATTAGCCTCAATCTTCACCGGAACATACAACAAAGAAATGGTATGTTGATGGAGCCAGCAACAGTTAGACCCTAACCAAACCTTAACTGTAAACCTAATCTCTTCTTTAATCCGAGAAAGAACGTAGCCAAAAACTGCCTACTTAAGTAAACATAGTAAACAACCTTGCATAGTGAACCCAGTTGACTAAATACCGTAGCCTTACCAAACATACAACTGTTGAAGGCACAGCAAATGTTCCGCTTTACTAAGCTGCACGCAAAATACCCGATATCTGATGTACTATTACAGCTCCTCGTATTGCGAAAAAAACTGAGCTCTGCCTTCGAATTCACCGATACATACTAGGATTGCCAAACGTATTGTCTTTAAGTACATTTTGGCATTCTCATCTATTAAAACTGATCCCGTACAGATTACATTCAAAACGAAAAACATTTTCTAGATGACCTGAGTTATGTTAACTTGGCTTTTATAACCTAAGGTAAAGTACCCAGGGCGTAATAGAGCGCGGTTGTCGACTTCTCCTTCGGTTATGCTCCCATTTTGTGGAACCCTATCTAAAAGAATTTATTTCACGAGACATCCTTGGCTAGATTGGTTCGTGATTTGTAGATTACTTCTTGTTTGAAGCCACGAGTATTTAATTTCACGAATAGAAGCAAATGTACGTGCCCCAGGCTCTTGTTGTAATGAAGAAGACGCAATCAGTGGAACAACAGTGATCGCGTCTTCTTCTTCCTTGCAGTATTTGATCTGTTCCTTTGTGATTGGTAGCTCCCCTAAACCTGATCTGATCTCCATGGCTCCGTATGCTTATCGGAGAAGAGTCCACGGCTAGACGACAACCCTGAGATTATTTTCATTTATCTTGAGAGGCTGAAGGGCAAAAAATATAAACTTGCTTTACCGGAAATCGGACCTGTTAGTCCTCTTTTAAATTAGTTTTTGCGGGTTGGATCGCCGCATTCGGCTAACGAAATCCACAAGGTATATTTCAGAGTGCGCAACTCACATAACATTGTGTAGTTGTCACTTCTTCCTGATCATTTTTATTTTCCTGATAATACGACGCAACTCTGCTGTCTACTGCCTTCTGATTTATGCAGGCACCAGAAACTAGAGAATTTTATTTGAGTCCGCACTTTATATACCGTTTCGCTTTTTAGGTCCCTTATTAGATACAAAAACTAATATTACGATCCTACTTAAGTAGTTCCTCTGAATCTAAAATATAGACCAGAACTTCGGTTGACATTTAATTAGATAGGGAATCTACTAAATGGTCCATTGCCTAATTTCTACTTTATTTACTGACCAATATTTTGAGGGATTACCGCCAGAAATAGTTAACATCCAAGTAAGATTCTACTGTTTTCTCGGACCGTCCTTTCTGCTTACGAAGTACAAGATTTGAATAAGGTCTACGTGCAATACTGTGCGTAGACGAAACATACTGCAAAGACTCGATTGTAACCGTCATATATTAAAGCTTATAACGCTAGATGGGCAAACACTGTGCAGTTAAGACTGCACGGAACAAATTCTCACCTCGTCGAGTGCTCAATACACCGAGAAGCTGATGCTGCTGGCGTAGGCTGATCCGTCTCGCAGTCCG